CCAGGAGCCATCCCTGAGCAATGCCCAGTGTGACAAAAAAACCAAAAAATAAATAGAAATAAACCATTGGGCTTTTAGAACAGAGCTGTGGGAGTGGGCTCAAAGTGATCTGGGCACAGTGTAGAGAGTTTTGGTGCTTTGGTGGTGGTACTGGTGATTGAAGCAGAAGTCTTAATACTATTGTGAACCATGTGCTTCAATAATAAAATTTAACTTATTGTTTATAAGCTATATGGAATAGTTTCTAGAGAATATTAAACAAAAAACATGGTACAGTCTGTTATCTTTATTTAAAAATATGGAAAAGCGATTGTATTATTAAATGATTTTGAAAGATAATAGTACTTATATCCCCTGTGTTATGGTAATGAATGATTTGCTCCTTTAACATACTGAAAAGTGGGCCTGAAGCTCGCCTCATTACCAGTGGACCCAGGTTCACACTCTCAGCACCCCAGTGGCCCCCTGGGCCTAGCCAAAAGGCAAATCAATAAAATACTGAGGGACCTCAGAGAGCACAGTTAACTGAAGCACATGCTTGTGCAAGGAGGGTTAGTTAGGTTTAGTCCCCGGTGTTGCATACATCCCCTGGGCACGCAACCAGGTATAGGCCCTGCGCACTCCCAGGTATAGCCAAAAGACAGAAAAATAGAAGTTCACTAAAAAGTGAGCAAGAAGCATTAAAAAGTGACCTTTGATTTAAAATTGTTAGAATAGTAAAAGAATTTAGAATATCAAAGGAATTTTGGAACATTGAAGATTTTATAAAATTCTGGGCACACTGGTAGTTCAAATATGCGCCTGGGTTGCATGTGTAGTTTTCAATGGTTTTTTACTCTTCAACCATAAGTACCCTAGCACCCTGTTACTGCTTCCATGGTGAATGCCTCTTCAAGTGTGCCATCTAGCGTCAAGTTTGGTGCTATGATTTATGGATTAAAATTCCCCCTAGGGGGGATGGGGGTGGGAGGGATACTGGGATCTGTGGTGGTGGGAAATGGGCACTGGTGGAGGGATGGGTATTTGATCATTGCATAATTGAAACCCAAGCACAAAAATTTGTAAGTCTGCAACTGTACCTCATGATGTCTCACTATTAAAAATTTTTTTAATAAAAAATAAAATGAAATGAAATTCCCCCTAGAAAAATTTTTATATCAATTTAAATTTTTAATAACAGACACATGTGTTAAGGAATGTGATTTGAAAATGCCCACCACCACCCCCCAATAATTGTGTATTGTTGCATCTGTAAAATAAGCAAAGCCTGTGTGTTTCTGATAAATCTATTCAATAAGAGCTTCGTGATAATATGTACATACCTGTTGAAAAAGATATTAAGGGCATTCAGGTAGGAAAGGAAGAAATCAAGCTCTCACTATTCGCAGATGATATGATACTCTACTTAGAGAACCCAATAACTTCCACCAAAAAACTCCTAGAAACAATAGACTCGTATAGTAAAGTTGCAGGTTATAAAATCAATACCCAAAAGTCCATGGCTTTCCTATACGCAAACAGTGAGAGAGAAGAAAGCAACATGAAAAAAACAATCCCATTCACAATTGTGCCCCAGAAAATCAAGTACCTAGGAATCAGCTTAACTAAGGAAGTAAAGGACCTGTACAAAGAAAACTACAAAACGCTACTTCAGGAAATAAAAGAGGACATGAGGAAATGGAAAGATATCCCCTGCTCATGGGTCGGGAGACTTAACATTGTCAAAATGGCAATACTACCGAAAGCATTGTATAAATTCAATGCAATCCCTATAAGGATACCCATGACATTCTTCAAAGAAATGGAGCAAACACTCTTGAAATTTATATGGAACAAAAAGCCCCCACGAATAGCTAAAGCAATTCTTGGGAAAAAGAAAATGGGAGGAATCAACCTCCCGAACTTCAAACTGTACTACAAAGCAGTAATAATTAAAACAGCATGGTACTGGAACAAAGGCAGAACTGCAGACCAATGGAACAGGGTTGAATACACTGACATCTCTCCTCAATCATATGCTCATCTAATCTTTGATAAAGGTGCAAGTAATGTGAAGTGGAGTAAGGAAAGCCTCTTTAATAAATTGTGTTGGCATCACTGGACGGCTACATGCAAAAAAATAGGCTCAGAACTCTGCCTAACACCATGTACAAAAGTAAGATCAAAATGGATTAAAGACCTCAACATCAGACCAGAAACCATAAGGTACATTGAAGATAAAGTTGGCAAAACCCTCCATGACATTGAAGCTAATGGTATCTTCAAAGATGCCACGCCACTGGCCGAGCAAGTGAAAACAGAGATAGATAAATGGGACTATCTTAAACTAAGAAGCTTCTGCACCTCCAAAGAAACAGTGACCAAAATACAAAGACAGTCTACAGAATGGGAAAGGATATTCACCGAATACACATCTGACAAGGGGTTGATATCCAGGATATACAAAATACTGGTTAAACTCCACAAGAAGAAAACATCCAACCCCATCCAAAAATGGGGCAATGAAATGAACAGAAACTTTCTCAAAGAAGAAATCCGAATGGCAAAAAAGCACATGAGAAAATGCTCTACATCATTAATCATCAGGGAGATGCAGATCAAAACCACAATGAGATACCATCTCACACCTCAGAGACTGGCCCACATTCAAAAGAACAAAAGCAACCGATGCTGGCGTGGATGTGGCGAGAAAGGGACACTCCTTCACTGTTGGTGGGAATGTCCACTGGTTCAGCCCTTCTGGAAAACAGGATGGACGATTCTCAAAAAATTAGAAATTGAGATCCCATTTGACCCAGCAATACCACTCCTGGGAATATATCCCAGAGAGACAAAAATGTATAGTCGAAGTGACATCTGCACTTGTTTGTTCATTGCAGCACTCTTTACAATAGCCAGAAACTGGAAGAAACCTGAATGCCCAAGAACAGACGACTGGTTAAAGAAACTTTGGTACATCTACACAATGGAGTACTATGTAGCTCTTAGAAAAGATGAAGTCATGAACTTTACATACAAGTGGTACAATATGGAAAGTATCATGCTAAGCGAAATGAGTCAGAAAGAGAGGGATAGACATAGAAAGATTGCATTCATCTGGGGGAGATAAAGTAACAAAGTATGAGATTAATACCCAAGAATAGCTGAGATCAGCACCAGGAGGATTACTCCATAACTTAGAGGCCAGCCGGGTATCCTAGAGGAAAGGGCAGTTCAGATAGAGAAGGGAGCACCAAATAAAGGATGTTTGGAGGATCCTCCCAGGAGGGGAGATGCATGTCGAAAGTAGACTATGGACTGAACATGTTTGCCACTCAATGCCTCTTTTGCAGACCACAACACCCAAAAGGAGAGAGAGAACACAGGGGATTGCCCTGCCACAGAGACAGGGGGGATGGGGGGATGGGGGTGGGAGGGATATTATCCATGGTGGTGGAAAATGGGCACTGGTGGAGGGATGGGTATCTGATCATTGTATAATTGAAACCAAAGCACAAAAAATTGTAAATCTACAACTTTAAAATAAAATAAAGGGGAAAAAATAAAATAAAATAAAAATAAAAATTAAAAAAAAAATGTACATACCTGTAACAGGCCCTTAGGTGGAACATGAACAAAGCACACCTTTCCAAGGGGGGTGGGGCTTAGAGTTTGAAACTTGAATCCAGTAGCCTTGGAAGATGGATATTTGAGGAAATGTCTGAAAATGTTGAAGGGGTTCTGGGCAGGACACATCAAGGCCCAGGGCGGGAATATGAGCAGACATTCAGGGAAGAGGAATCTGTTGGCTGGGTTAGGAACCTCGTGGAGGAGTCCGTTCTAGAGCTGTGTTGGCTGCTGGAGGAACTTGGCCTTTTCTCTGAGGGGTGGAAGGTTCAAGCAGACTCGTGAGTGATGAGAGCTTCATTTTTGACAGAACCATCCTCGCTGTTGTGTTGAGAACAGACCAGAATGGAGCGGGGAGGGCAGCAGGCTTGGGAGGACGCTTCTGTAGCTGGCAGGACTGGTTCTTGATTCACAGAGGTAACCATGGCGATGCTGTGCACGACCAGGTGCTTGGAGACACTGCAATGGAACCCGAGCAGGCACTGGGGGCATTGGTGGTGGAATATGGGGGGAGACCGGGGGGGGGGGTTCTCCTCCTGGGCCTCTGAAGTGCTGTTAGCTGGGCAGAGGATGCAGGAAAGTCGGGTTTAGGGGCTAGGGAGAAGAAGCTTGATATTTTGCATGTGTAAGGTAGCTTAAGCCTCAGTCTCTTCAGTTGGGGGGCGATTCAGTCCATGGTGGGGAACCCCTTTGGTCTGGCAGGAATGAGGTCATGCAGGGCAGGCAGGAGGCAGCGGACACAGGTACTGGGGGTCGTCACACTTTCACAGGCTCTCAGTGTTCTCGGCTAGCAAGTTTCCATCCTGGGCATCTCGTGTTCTTGTCTCTCCGTTGTGCAGATGACTGAATGCTCCTTTTAGGGGCTCCCTGGCAGTCATTAACCAATCAGGCAGAAATACTTGTCTTTTCTGGTTTTCTCTATTGGCCACTTTTGGAGATCCGTGGTCTGTGGCTCCTGGTGTGGCAGGTTGCGGGTGTGTGCTCACGCAGTGTGTGCTCTGCCTTCAACTGCCTCCCTGGAATTTTTCTTTTCCAGGGCTTGGGACCCTGGCGGTCACTCCCAGTGATTCTCAGCCAACTGGTGGCCGTTGTTTCTGTGCTGGGGCCATCACAGCACTCAGGGAGTCTCCAGGGATGGCCTCATGCCGCATGAGGCCTCCGCATCTACACCCCCTCTGGGGTGCTGGGAGCCATAGCAGCAACCTAATCCCACTACTGCTCCCTGACCCAGAAGGACTTTTGGGGGGAAAATTCTATGGAGACCAGGAACACATTTTGTAGAGTCTAATCTCTTACAAATACTAGCATAAGTTTTAGAAAGACTCCCTTCTCTCAGCTTCTAAGTTAACGTATCAGAGCCCCATGTCTCAGTGTGTTTCTTCCCTGCTTCTCAGATGCCCCCATGCAAGGAGAAGATGAAAGGCATCAGGAAGCATCCTCCCGCAGAGTGCCTCTACCTCAGCTTCTCCCACCAGTCCGAGGGCTGCGTCTTCCCACTGCACACAGCCGTGAGCTTGTTCCTCTTGGCCTACTGTGACTGCAAAGTCTTTAAGGTTTACTTGGTTCTCACCGAAGACAGTGAGGACCTTTCACGGCCCAAAAGTCCCCTGGCCCAGGGTGTTCAAACCCATGTCATCTCACGGCACGAGCTGCCCCCCATAGTCCAGAACTGCCGTTTGCCTGCAGTGGTGGAAAAACCTGACAATTTCTGTAGAGCTGGACTTGCTGTTGTGCTAAGACACATAATCCAAACGTCCTACGACATGGACCCCTCAAGGAAGGAGATCCTGGAGCTTCTGGGCTTCAAGAAGACCTGCCTGAAAGCATGTGCTGAAGTGAGTCTGGGGCTCCTTCCTTCCTTCCTTCCTTCCTTCCTTCCTTCCTTCCTTCCTTCCTTCCTTAATTCTGTGATGCACAGGGGTTACTCCTGGCTTTGCACTCAGGAATTACTCCTCGTGGTGCTCAGGGGACCATATGGGATGCTGGGAATCAAACCCTGGTCGGCCGCATGCAAGACAAATGCCCTACCAGCTGTGCTATCGCTCCAGTCCCAGGTAGGGGTCTCTTTCTGTTTCATAAAGCTGTGAGGAGCGGTCACCTTCCTGGTCACCTTCCCAGGGACTTTTATTTGAGCTGTGTGGAGACATCAAACTAGCCTTTTGTCTCAGCCAGCATTTCAGTGTAGTGTTGAATGTAACATTGAAGATAAAATCTGTGAGCTTTGGAAATATGTTCTGGAGGATGGCTTTTTGTCTTAGTTACTTTGAAAGTTGTTAAAGGCTGTTAATAGCCTTTGGAAAGCTGCTGTCCTAGGGGTTGGGTGCTGCCCTAGAAAGTTCCGGGAAGGAGGAAAGCCCCTTGGGACCCGGGTCAGGAACAGAGCCTGCATTTTTAGATAACCACTGCCCGTGTCCCGAAGTGGCTGCGGTGGCCTGCCCGCTCCTTCCCAGGGACGGCTGGCCTGCAGACCCCAGGGAAGCCGCTGTCTTTCCCCCCCCCACCCCCCCCCCACCCACCCAGAACCCCTTTCAGGGCGGGTTTTGTGTTGCAGGTCAGCCAGTGGACGCGACTCTGTGAGCTCACCGTCCCCCTGGCCATTGAGAGTTTCCTGCAGGGGTCCCCACAGCCCCTGAGCATCCCCACCGAGCTGCAGCAGCTGGAGCGGAAGCTGAGGGAGCCAGTGCGGGTGCACAACGACGACAAGCTGCGGCGGCAGAAGCTGAAGCAGCAGCAGGCCGAGGGCCCCTGTCCCGCCCAGCCCCAGCACCCCGGCGCGGCCCCCAACCTGGAGCTGCAGGTGGCCTTCTCCAAGCTGGGGGTGCAGGAGGAGCCGGCCGCTGCCAGGAGGGAGCCGCCCCACGTCCGCAAGGCCCGGGCCTCGGAGCTGCCCCCGCTGGAGCACGTGTTCGCCGAGGGCCTGTACTTCACTCTGGCCGACATCGTGCTCCTGCCTTGTGTCCACCTCTTCCTGGTAAGGCCAGCCCTTCCCGAGCCCCGCCCCTCCTCTTATCTGCAGGCAGTGGTTGGGAGCACCGAGCCCCCAACTGTGCGAGGGACAAGTGCCCACCTGTGAGGCACGGGGACAGCGTCCCCACATAGAGAGCTGGAGAAAGGCCAACAAGGAGGAAGCCTCGCTCAATTTAGGACAGTGTTAGCAACTCTTATGATCATTTAGTTTCAAATTGTTTCAAATATGATTCCCTTCTCATATTAGAGGGCCCAGGGTTAAAATGCTAAAACAAAACATTAATAGTCAGAATAACTTGACAGTGAAATGGGGTGAAAAAGAAAGATGTAACAATGGTTTAGATACACTAATGATTTGTTTCTACTTTCGTAGAGTACCCCCCACCCCATCCTAGCTGCACCTGATGGGCATTCCCCGTGTGTGAGAGATGGGGGGGGGGGTGCCTGACAGTGCTCTGGGCACCTGGGATCCTCTGGGCTCCAGGGATCACACTCCTACCTGCCGGGCGTTTGCTCTAGTTCTACCACTTATGCTCTCAGCCCAGCTCCCTAGATATTCTGGATTTTGGGGAGGGGGCCACTGCTCATGATTTTCTGCCTAACCAGCTTTGGGTTCAGGGAGAGGCAGATGGCACCTGGGACTGTGTTTTCCTCCCCACCCCGCATTGATGTTAAATGTCACATGTATTCATATTCTGTTATCTCTGGAGTGGGGTGGGGAGAAACATTGATTCTCTTTTCTAGACAAATGATTAACAATGTTCTTGTTCCTGACTCTCTTCTTTATTAACTCAGTTCACAGAGGGGTCACTGATACCTGTCATGAAATACTGTTGGTCTTCTTCATGATTTCTTTAGTTTACTATGTTCATGTCTAATTTAAAGAAAATTGGATCAAAGTGACACATCTATTGACTCATTAAATATGAATTATATAGTTACCTAGTCACAACTTAGTTTCAAAAGGAAGAAAAGATGCTATGTGCATGTAATAAATAATAAAAGATTGCTACTAAGAGGACTTGAGAAACGGAGAAAATGAGAACATTTCTTAATTATTTACTTTGGTTTAACCTTTATTTGTGTAGTATATAATCTATTCCTGGGCAATTAAAATTTTTGGGTGAAAATTTGGTGAAACTTTTGACATCTCAGAATGTCATTTAGATGATTTTCAGACTTTTTAACGCTCACAATAAATCATGCATTTTCTAAGTCATCAACGTACAAGTAAATATTTTTATGTTGGTGTGAAGGTATGGAGACTGAGATGTTACATGAGATTTCTAGGTATGAGTAAATTACCTGCGGCTGCAGGATCAGGAGGAGGCTCAGGGATGGTGAGCGTCCCAGGGTCCTAGAGGACGCCTGGAGCGCGTATGTGGGCAAAGCCAAGTCCTGAGTTCGAATAATGACTGACCTGGGGGAGGAAGAAGACCAGGCACAGTGTTGGGGACAAACAGGAAGAGACTCAGGGATGGTGAGCATCCCAGGGTTCACGTAAATATCTTTATAGTATGTTTATAAGTACTTAAAAAGTAAACCATCTTTCTCTACATGCTTAATATTTTTTTTGTAGGAGTACTGCTATTTATTCAGCCACTGATTAGCTGATTGAATTGGGCATGAACTCCACCTTAATTTTTTTATTTATTTTTTTCTTTTTATATTTATTTTTTGAATCACTTGTGGGAAAAGTTACTAAGCTTTCAGGTTTAAGTCTTGGTCATACAATGATCAAACACCTTTCCCTTCACCAGTACTCATTTTTCACCACCAAGAACCCCAGTATACCCCCCCACCCCTCCAAATGTCTGTGAGGCAGATGATTTCTACTTAACTCTTCTCTACATTGATTACATTCATTATTTCAACAAGAGATGTACCATTATTGTTTAGAATTTCCCCCCAAACAATCAGAATTGCTGAAAAGACATTGTGAAATATTTTGTTTTCTATAGCAGGTTATGTACATGCTTAATATTTTAGTAGGTTTTTTTTTTCATTAAAAAACATTAATTTTATAGCCTTTGATCATATACAGTAGTTTGAAAAATGCTCACTGGGGGATGTTCTTTGATGACATTTTCTTGCTTATTGATTCAAAGAGTGTATTTGTATGGTAGTATTTTGAATATTTCCGCATATAAGAAGTTAGATATAAAGCCTGTCCATATAAACAATTTCTTGTGCTTACTTAACCTTGAAAGTCCAGTTAAAATAAATTGTTCATGTGTGTTAATTTTTCTGTTTTTTTCTAGCTCCTTAGGCTATAATTATTGCTAGATATTTTTGTAGAGATTATCTGTGGTTTGACCTTTTTACTTATCTGTTCATAATCATGTCATAAAATGGTTGTAACATTATAAGTGTTCCCATGGAAACAGCATTCAGTGTCTTGATAAGCAAGAACAGTCTTTAAAAAAAAACTGAGGTTAAAAAACAAAACAAAACTGAGGTTTGGTGGGAATGCCAGGAGAAGTCGTCTGATCATGAGAAGCAAAACTGCATCTATATCAGGAGCAATAGTTTAGCTCTTTCTAGTTTGAAGAGTAAAAATCTTAATTTAAGCGCTGCATAATGATAAAAAAAATACCATTTTGAGTGTAGAAAATCACAAATCATGTTTGTGATTCCACTTACATGAAATTCTGGGAAAGGAGAATTGATCCAGAACTGTCAGCCATGCTGTACACAGCTGAGCCAGGAGCAGATTGAACAGTTACAGAGGCACTCTTCACGGTGGTCTGCAGGCTCGGGAGCTGCATTCTGGGGCCAGCTACCCAAGGTTGATGCTGAAGATAGGTCCGCTGCCCCATGAGCACCCCAGAACCCCCAATACCGTCCCGCCAAGCTTTTCCCAAAAGGGAGAGACTTGATTGCATTCCAGAGTGCAGGGAAGGTTGGAGCAGTGCTCAGATCTACACCCCTGTCCCTTCGCTGGAGAAACTTTTGATGGGTAGAAAGGTTAGAACATCTGTTTCTTCTTTCTTTGATTTTGAGTCCACACCTGGTGGCGCTTGGGGCTACTCCCAGCTTTGTGCTCGGGGTGCTCTGAGAACTGCAAGCCCGCAAGCCTGCGCTTGGCTATTGAGCTTTCCCTCTGTCCTGACCCCGTCCTGTTTTCTAAGAATCAGGACATGGTTTTCAGGACAGATATGATGAGAACTCAAAAGCATCAGATCGTTTGGCATCCTGAATGAACACTGATAGTTTTTTTGAGTGCTTCCCCCGAAAGCATAAATTATAATAGGTCTTCAAGCTCTGCTATCTGCTCAGAAGCCAGAGGCAAGAAGGAACGAAGAGATTTGTGTGTTTCAGCTTGTTGTTCTTTCCAAAAAATGTTATGACAAATTTATGTCTCTGCAAAGCAGATACTGCAGAGAATGATAGTGTTACCATCCTTTGTCCAAGCCAGTTTAGCAGGTGCAGGTAGTGCTTGTTCTTCAGGGCCGGGGGGCCAGGCTTACTGTTTGAACCTGCACTTAAAATACACGAGTTATACAGAGTGTGAAGTCATCTCACTGTTGCTATTTGTCGGCAAGCAGAAACTATATAGTTATGTGTCCTGTTATCCCTAATGTGTGTTGCTCCCGCCTAGGTCACCATCTGTAAGAAGCTTTCTGAGAAGCTGGTGGAATTCCCACTGCTGACTGCATGGTACCAGCGGGTTCAGGAGGTGCCACGCGTGAAAACAGCAGCTTCTCAGTGCGGGATCCATTTCCTCCACTTGCCGGAGTCGCTGTCCTCTGCACAGGAGCAGCACCCCGAGTTTGTGGAGACCCTGGGTGCAGAGGAACCAGAGGAGCAAAGTGAGCCTCCGTTTATAGGCGGGCCGAGACCAACGATGACAAAGTTAAGGGTATGTGAATATGCACAATTTGGGTTCAGATTTTTCATGGGACATTGCAATCTACTGAGCTTGTAGGCATTTGTCAACTTTTGTTGTTGTTTTTTTTTTTTTGTTATTGGAGCAATACCATACAGTGCTCAGGAGCACCTTGCCCACGTGGTACTTGGCAAAGCAGTCTTAACCCTGAAACCGAGTCCTTCAAGAGGACACAGGGATTTCTCAGCGGCTGGGACTGGGGAGCTCCCAGGGGACAGCATCTGATGGCCTGGATTCCCAGCATTTAGCTCACTAGCACTGGTCTTCAGTAAGTCACTTCACAGCTCAGAACTTTAGAATAACAGACATTTAGGTTTTTCTGTGACATCTTAGTGTAACTCTTAGGTTGGACAAAAGATGACTGGGACATTTTACCCAGTTTTTCATTTTTTTTAATTTATTTTTTTTAAAGTTTTGAAGCTTATTATAATGAGTAGATGCGGCCCTTTCGGTGGGGGTGGGGGAGGGCGTCACACCCAGTGATGCGCAGGGATTATTCTTGGCAGTGCTCCGGGGACCATATGGGATGCTGGGAATCAAACCTGGGTGGTTGGCCGTGTGCAAGGCAAACACCCTACCGGCTGTACTATAGCTCCAGCCCCCTCACCCAGTTGTTTTTCTTTTTTTTCTTTTTTGGGTCACACATGGCAATGCACAGGGGTTACTCCTGGCTCTGCACTCAGGAATTACTCCTGGCAGTGCTCAGGGGACCATATGGGATGCTGGCAATCGAACCTGGGTCAGCCGTGTGCAAGGCAAATGCCCTACCCACTGTTCTATCGCTCCAGGTCACCCCCCACTCAGTTTTTTAAAGATGTAAAGTTCAGATCTTAAAAAGGGTAAACTTTCCATTTTAATTTAATTCTAGCTTGATAATAGTAAAAGATGAAATAAATGTTCAGCAGGGCATTGTTTTCGTTACTTACTAGTGAATTTTTCCATTAACATTTTAAAAGACTGTTTTTATCAAATTAATATATTATGTGAGCCATATGTCTCATTTCTTGTCAGGTTGTGTCAATTACATGAAGAAATTGGTCCTTAGTGGAGTTATAAAATAGGAGAGTTTCTTAGAGAAATACGTCTCACTTTTTTTTCCCTGCCTTTTGTTTCTTTCCATACAATCTTGCCTCCAAAATTTTCCTTAGCTCTAGTGGCTTTAAATTTATTCAGTTAGTAAAATATCAATAAGTGCATGTGCCTATTGATCATCAGGAGTTTTCTGAATGTTGGTTATATAAAAAGTACATTTAGGTTTCCTTTAGGGATCTTAAATTCTGGTGGAGGGAAAATAAAGAGGGAACATGAGTAGGTAATGTATCAGGGAATAAGTTCTATGTCAGTAATAATGTGAGCAGGTGGGTGGGAGGTGGCAGCAGTTGGGGTGATTTTTCTGTACGGTAATCAGAATATACATTCCTTTTCTGAGGTCAAGACATGGATGAATAAATTCATTAAACCTGAATCAATTAAAGATTTGGAAGAAGTGTTCTAAGCAGAAGGGCTGGCTAGAAAGCTACTGAGCTTGACTCTGGGCACTTTGGGATGTATCCCTGGAGGACCCGCCACCAGCACCACCCTCCTCCCAAAAAATTGGTGTGAATGATCATTCGGGTTGAGACTTTTTGAGTAGAACCTCGTAGGCCGAGCTCCTTTTCCTATGCAGAGATGGACCGTGAGGGCTCGAGGGGTGTCTGGGGAATGCACTTGCTTTGCATGTGACTGAATCCAGTTTGGTACCTGGCACTGCATGGTCCATTGAGTGACCCCCGAAAACAGCCGGAGTAGGAGATGCTGAGCATCAGCAGTAGCTCTCAGCACCCCCCCACCCCCAACATCCCCGAAAGACAGAGCTCGAAGGGTGTGTGCAGAGTAAGTAGGGATTTATCTTCATGTGGATTTAGGGCGTTTGCCTAGCACGTGGCCGACCCAGATTTGATTCCTCCGTCCCTCTTGGAGAGCCTGGCAAGCTACCCAGAGTATCCCGCCCACACGGCAGAGCCTGGCAAGCTCCTCCCCGTGGCATATTCGATATGCCAAAAACAGTAACAAGTCTCACAATGGAGACGTTACTGGTGCACGCTCGAGCAAATCGATGAACAACAGGAAGACAGTGCTACAGTGCTACAGTGGATTGTTTGTGATAAAATGTTTATCCTCAAGAGACTTTCCTCTTTGATGCTCAGTGTAATTCTAGGGAGCTTTTTTCCTTTCTATGCAATTTCAGATAAGAATAGCATTACTTTGGACTATTTCAGTATGAAAAATAATCAAGTAACTTCTGTCAAAAGATGCCACCTATCACATTTGGGTGTTTCGTCTTTCGGTTTGGGGCCATGTCCAGCAGTGCTTCAGGCTTCCTCCTGTCTCTGTGCTCAGTGGTCAGGGAATTGCTGGGTGGTGCTGGGATCACACTCGATTTGGCCGCATTCCAGGCAAGGACCTGGGCCTCTGGACACTCTCTGGCTCCACATGCCGTGTTTCTAATGTGACTCAGGGGTTTGACGTCCATCTGCCTATTACTGTGTCTGTGCCTTCCTAGTTTTGGAAATAGACATGTGGACTTCTAGAACATTGCGGGATTTTATGAATTTAGTGATTCGGAAAGAACTTACTTCCTTTTCTAGGAAAAAGGCATTGAAGTGATGTTTGCTCCGCACCCTTGCCCCACGTGGACCCTTGATTGGGATTCTCTTCCTGCCGCCGCGAGCCCAAAGGAAGGTGAGGGTTTGCTCGTCCTTAGCTTTGACTCAGTCGGATTTCCTCTGCAGTTCCATCTCCCAGTTCTTTTTAATTTTGTATTTGGCTTTATCTAATATTCTGATTACACGTTAACTTTGTACTGAAACTTTCAAAATGAAATATATGCCTCACTCGGGATTAGTGTTTCTTCCCTTTTCCTACATTTGCTTCATCTATTTTTTCTTTCATTGCTGAGATTTTTTTTGAGGGGGGTGGTTTGGGCCACACCCAGTGATGTGCAGGGGTTCCTCCTGGCTCTGCACTCAATAATCTCTCCTGGCAGTGCTCAAGGGACCCACAGGAGATGTCTGGGATTGAGCCTGGGTCTGTGCGTGCAGGGCAAGTGCCCTCCCGCTATAGGATCGCTCTGGCCCAACATTGCTGAAATATTTGAAGCACATCCCAGACATGTCATACTTTATTAAATCTAAAAAAAAAAAACTCAAATAATCACGATGGCATCCTAAATAATTCCCACTCATTAGCACTCCTAATTTAAATTTTCAAAATATCCTGTGCCATCTGATAACTAATTCATAATCATTTCCCCACAGTTAAATAAAATTGATTTGAAAACATTTTTCTAGTTAGGTGTCTACTTTTTATTTTATTTTTGACTGTCTGAAATCATGTTTGGTCTGTGTTTGCAGGGGTGAGTTTGGGTCCTTCATGGCAGCGCCCAGGCACTCGGTGCTCAGGAAGCATAGGGGGTCTTTCCCTCCTCTCCACCCTCAGTCTTCTCAGGAGCATGCAAGGCCCCCGCCCCTCTTAAGCATGCTTAATTATGGTGTGTGACTAAAAATAAAAAGCAAAATCTCTTTTCCCTTGGAAGTAGATTTTTTTCTCATTCTCAGTTTTCTGTTATGCTTTGTTCTACCCTAGGTTAGATCAGAGACCTTATTTTTTAGACCTTCTTTTTAAATATTGGCAAGCAGAACTTAATGGTGACAAATTACCAAGGGAGTTATAATTGCCATTTTGTCTAGTGTGGATTACATAGAATCCTCTTAGTATCACCTTTTCAAACAAAAGTCTGTGATGAGAAATAATGAATGAAGTGTTAAAAATTAGTTATCTACAGTTTTTTTCTTTTTTTGTTTTTTTTGTTTGTTTGTTTGTTTGTTTTTCTATTTTTGGGTCACACCTGGCTATGCACACGGGTTACTCCTGGCTCTGCACTCAGGAATTACCCCTGGCAGTGCTCAAAGGACCATATGGGATGCTGGGAATCGAACCCGGGTTGACCGTGTGCAAGGCAAACCCTCTACCTGCTGTGCTATTGCTCCAGCCGCTACAGTTTTTTTTCAATTAGGTCATATGTATATTGTTAAGAATTATTTGAAATTTCTCCTCCCTGTATACAGGTGAACAAACAGGAATTATTGAACAGTCAAGCACGTTTAGATCTTTTCCTGACTCTGCTAGATAATTTATTCACTATTGGACCCATTTGAAACTTACTGTGGTTTATTTGGGAATATTTATGCATTCACTCTAAGAAACCTCAACTTACCCATTCTAGAGTGAATGGTAAAGATTAAAATGTTTCAAGAGTAAATAGCTTGCAAAGGTTGCGATGCAGGATTGACATGCTGTGACATCCCTTTGAGAAGCAGTGGCAAGTGAGAGTCTGTGTATATAAATATGAAGCCCCGTTGCTCTCTCTCGCCGCCTCTGATGGGTGGTCACAGATAAACACAGGAATGGGAGTGCCTTGGGAGCACTGTGAATGGGTGCAACCCAGTAAATCCAAGCTCCCTCTGTCAAGGGAGACAGGACATACCGATGTTATCCTACAGGAGTTCTGTCTCTTCAGTGTGTGTTGATGGGGCTGGCAGGGGGGCAGTTCGAACTCAGGCCCTCTTTGTGTAATGGCCTGTTCTGGGTCTCTTCTCCTCCGGGGGTCCCTCACCCACACACTCACCTGGAGCTGTGTCCCAGCTCGAGAGATGACTGCTCCTCAGCCTTCTCTCGCTCTGACTTCTTTGAGGCTTTCCTACTGATCATGGCTGGCAGGCACTATAATAACAGACTGTGATATGTTTTAGAATGTCATATTTGGATGAAAATTTGCAGAAATGTTACGTTAATTATTAATGGTTGAATTTTCAGTAAGGACCCATTTTAAGTGGAGAAAAACTATCAAATTGGCCCAAAGCAAGGAAGAAAACAGATACACCTCTAAAACAAAGATTTCAGCAATAAATTATTTAGTCCAAGGCTTTCCTGTTACTCTAAAGGAGACACAGGAGAATCCCTGACCTTGCAGTTAGTTCCCTGCAGGCTATATGTGGTGTCTCTGAAAGCCCTGGAAACAAGCTTCTGTTCCTAACCCACGCAAACCCAACTCTATTAATTCTGTCCTGTCCATCTGCAGGATTCTTTTTCCTCATATAACTTAGCTCTTGAATTGCCTTTCAGAGCACTTTTGAATATCTAACACTAAATAACTCAGTTTTTAGTCTTAACAACTCCCAGTATTGCTAAGTTTGAAGAAAAACTGTAAGTACAATTTTATAACTACACTTAAGGAGACAGAGGAAAACCGTGATGTAGTTCTTTATTATTTTTTGGTAATGGAAACTAATTAGTATTGCTCGTTTCAGTTTAAATTGGCACTTTCTGTTCTGCTCCAGACAGTCATGATTAAAATCAGCTTGCCTACACAATGAACTATTATAATTTCGTGCTTTGAACCAACTCCTCTCAGCACTGAAACCCATTCATCATTTTTACTAAATTAGGGCCAGCTCGCACTGGAGAGAAACCTAAGCAAGGAAATAGCACCGTTGTAGCTCTCGACGGTAGTGGATCCCGGGTGCTGCCGTGTTTGAGTAAATCTCAGAAATAGAATTGTAAAGGATCTTCAACCAGCGGGCAGGAGTCTGACCATAAGTAGAAAATAGTCTTAGCTAAGTGACATACATGAGTTGTTGTAGTAATCAATAGGATAATGTTTTTAGTCTCTTTTGTTTTGTTTTTGCTTTTTGGGTCGCACCCAGCGATGCAAGGGGTTCCTCATGACTCTGCACTCAGGAATTACTCCTGGCGGTGCTCAGGGGACCATTTGAGATGCTGGGAATGAAACCCGGGTCAGCTGCATGCAAGGCAAACGCCCTACCCGTTGTGCTATCACTCCAGTTCCAACAGGATAATGTTTCCAGGTATAGATTATGCTTGTGGAAAGTGATTAGTTTTGAGTTAGAATCAGTAATTGTTATTATAAAGGTTTTCATGTAATGGTATATGACTTGTGCACTTTCTGGAGAAAAAATTAGGTGCTTTGTGTGTGATGCATGTGAGTAGATGGTCATTTGTTAAACTGCAGTGAAATCAGTTTTCAGGAGCTCCTTGTGTTAGAGGCAGCTTGTCGTACGCTTCATCTTACTGATTGCTGCTAGTGTAGAAAGGAAGAGTGTCCTTGTGGTAGAGTGCCCGGAAACTGTAAGGACGGGTGAGAGGGAGTCTGTCTCTCTGCAAAGAAACCTTACTCACTGGATCTTTCCATGTCTTTTGGAGACATAGTCACACTTAATTTTTTTAATTTTTGGTTTGGGGGCCACAGCCAGCAGTGTCCAGCAGATACTCCTGGCTCTTTTCTTTCAGGGATCCCCTTTGCAGGACAAGAGACCACCTGGGGTTCCGGGGCTCAAACCCGGGCCAGCCTGTGCACGACCAGTGCTTTACCTGCTCTACTGTCTCTCCAGCCACACACTGAGGTTGTTTTTTTTTTAATTTTTATTGGTGAAACACCATGAGGTACAGTTGTAGACTTACAAATTTTTGTGCTTGGGTTTGAATTATACAATGATCAAATAAATACCCATCCCTCCACCAGTGCCCATTTTTCACCACCACGGATCCCAGTATCCCTCCCACCCCCCACATCCCCCCCAACCCACCCTGCCTCTGTGGCAGGGCATTCCCTTTTGTCCTCTCTCTCCTTTTGGGCATTGTGGTCCACAAAAGAGGCACTGAGTGGCAATCATGTTTGGTCTATAGTCTACTTTTGGCCTGCTTCTCCCATCCTGGGAGTATCCTTCCAACACCATCTATTTGGTGCTCCCTTCCCTTTCTGAGTTGCCCTTTTCCCTAGCATGTGTGGCTGGCTTCCAAGCCATGGAGTAAACCTCCTGGTACTAATCTCAGCTATTCTTGGGTATTAATCTTCTATTTTGTTACTTTATGTTCCCCAGATGAATGTAATCTTTTTATGTTTATCCCTCTCTTTCTGACTCATTTCGCTTAGCATGATACTTTCCATGTAGTACCACTTGTATGTAAATTTCATGACTTCATCTTTTCTAACAGCTGCATAGTACTCCATTGTGTAGAGCAAAAGCAGAAGAGGAAAGAAAAGCCAAGTTGCCGAAGGAAAGATTTAAGGAAATTACCTAGAAAATTTGTGTTTCGGTCACGTCTGTCTGCACACATCTGATCTAGCTGGTTCACATTTAAAAGTAAACCATTGTCGGGTTAATTAATTAGATCTGAATCATTAACTGATCTGACCAAAAAGACGTTGATAATAACTCACTGTGCTTCTAAGCAAGCACCTTCGCTAAGTGTCTTTGGAGTGAAACAGCAGCCAGTCACCGGCAGCGTTCTTAGGCACACACTCCTGTGTCCATTCAGTGCTGAATTCTCATCCACCCTTGATCAGGTGCTCTGAAAAATGATGGGGTGTTGGAGTGATAGCACAGTGGGGAGAGTGTTTGCCTTGCATGTGGCCGACCCAGTTCCGATTCCCAGCATCCCTATATGGTCCCCCAAGTACCTCCGGGAGTAATTCCTGAGTGCAGAGCCAGGAGTAACCCCTGTGCATGACTGGGTGTGACTGAGTCACACCTCAGCTGTCACTGAGTCTAGGCAAGGGTCTCAGCCCACCTGCCAACACATGGTTGCTGGGGGCTCGGCCTGGGCCTCTTCAAGGGCTGTCTCCCGGCTCTGGCCACTTCTCATCACTTGTTCATTCCTTT